AAGCCATAATTTATGATGAATTATTATTAAATTCTCAATAAACAGTCATATAAGGATTGAATTGGTGAATAGAGTATTAATAGTATTTTGCAATTTCAATCTTCAAAATCATTATAATTCCTTTACTAAAGGAATAGATATTATCTAATTTTTTTATTTAATTATTCCATCTATTTAAGTTGCATTTTGAGATAAACCATTTCAATTATCTGATTCATAGTTTTATAATTACTAGAATATTGATCTAAAGAATTTAAATAAATAACCATCAGACCAAAGAGTCTACTTATTTTCTTGAGATAACAACCTATTCGAGGAGTTGTTGATTATTTTAGTTAAATATAAAATATTAATAAACACAAAATATCTTAGATTTATAAATTGAGTTACTTTATGTAAAATTTCTCATAAATTAGAAATGTAAAAAAATATGATTCTGGTGAGAAGGTAAGAATTATATAATAATTATACTTTTGTAATATGAATCTGAAACCTAAAAATTAAAACATTATTTTGATAGTATAGATATCATATTTTGAGAATCATGAATTGATATGTCTTTCTTTTTTCCTCATTAATTATTTTTTTTCCATTTAAAGAAACATAAGCTGATGTATTATACTAATATTATTAATTTTGAATTATTTTGATATATATTTATGAAATGAAATTCAATCAAAAATTTGTTAAAAAATATTACTAATTAATTGAAAGTAGGTTATTTTGGCTGAAAGAATTTTCATCAATTTATATTATTTTTCCGCACTATTCTTTGATTGTGAGACTGTTTTATAAATTAGAAAAATGATGCAATTTAGACAGTTTAAAGCAAGAAAATTGATAGATATTGTTATCAAAAATTGAAAAATATGATTATTTATTAAAATTTTAACCTTTTTAATTGCTCTAATCTAGATTAATAGAACTTTACTCAGCAAAAGATTTATTTGATATTTAACAAACAAGCCAAGTAAATGTTGTTTTCCTTTATAAAACTATAATTTTTCTTCCAATTAAGAAATCAAAATGCTCGATAAAATTATCTTGGTTCACATATTGAATAAATTTAGGTAATCATCTATTTAATTAATACTTTAGGTAACTCTTTAGAAGTTTCACAATTCAATTAGTAAATAGTCTGTATTTATCATAAATTTTTTATTTATGGTTACCTGATGTCATCACATAAGGAATAATTAATGGTATGATAATTTTATTTCTATTTTATTTATTTGTACAAATAATAAATTTTAATTATTTTATGAAATTTTTAAAACTCAAAAATTTTTTGACTCGTATGATTAAAATTGAAAAAATCCATTCCCAACGCTTGAATCGCTCAATGATTTCATTCTTCGATATTCTCTGAACTCGAATAGTTGAATTAAAACAATATATGTAAGTACAAAAGTCTTATTTATTATTCATTTTCTTATTTGTTACATATCAAATATAAAATGAGTCAGTAAATTTTAAGAAATAGTTGGAGACCAATATTTTATTTCTCATTATTAATTGAAAATTAAAATTTTCTAGGGACTTAAGGTAAATTACAATAATGGTCGCACAAAATATTTTCTAAAATTTTCTATAGAGCAGTTGATAATGAAGTATAAATTTCAAACAAATTTGTAAATTTTTATTGTTTTTGTAGTTTTACAAAATGTATAAAAAGAATTAATTCTATACATTCAAAATTACTAAATAATTCATTATATTTTATCTAAAAACTTATTTTTTGAATGAAAATATTATGGGCTACAAATCATGATGAATTTTGGGATATGAAGGCAAAAGTGCCAATATTTATATTTAACATTTTTATCTTTGATTATAAAATTAAGAATGGTGAGGATGGAATAATTCCGTTGAATTTTAATTTAGTAACTTTAAACATAAGCATAATGTATTATTATAATTATTAAACTTATAAGAATGTATCATTTAATAAAAGAAATTAAGATGACAATAAAGATTTAATACTTAAACTTAAAATTTTCTATTATTTCTCTATTTTCAAATTATTTTTGGATTTAGATCATTTGATATCAAATATTTTGATTTTTATGAATATTGATTTCAAAAAAAATAAGTCTAATTGATTAATATTTTTGTACAAATGGGTAATTAATTATTCGGACTGCTAATATTCTATTAAAAATTAATACTTAAGAATATAATCATATGTTAAAAAAAAACATTTTGGAAATATTTACTAAAATGTTTTTTATTCGTAATCATAATTTTACTATTATTCTTATCTTCATTTTTTTGCTCTTTAATTAACATTTTATTATGTAATATTCATTATTAAATAAATAAAATTAATGTTTTTGATTATGTCAGCAATTTAAGTTTTCCTTGCTCAAGCGAATTGGGTAGTGGTTGATTAAAGTTTTTTGAGTGGATTCACTTCTAGTAACAACTGGTTGATTTATAGAAAATGCAACACTTTTGAATCTGGTGCTAGCTTTTAACATTATACTTGCTCATAAAATTAAATAAAATATACACGTCTTAAGAAAGACAATTAAAGACTAGATAAGAGTTTTAGTATAAAAAGTTACTAATCAGAAGTAATAGTTGATATATTTTTTGATAATGATAATTCAAGCCCTAGTGATAGAAAAGTTTACTTCACATTGAACTTAACATCACCAAATTAAATTTTGAAGTAGAGAGATTATTTCAATTCTGGTTTAACCCAAAATGCTAGAAGAATATGCAATAATACAGGATCTACATATTTTGATTTCATTACATATGTAGGTACATCTAATGCATAATCTAAAGAAATATTTAGTATATCAATAGGTATTGAAGCAGAAGATGACTTTTAATGGATTGGAGTTCGAAATTTGTTAGTCTATGTCAAATATTGTTTACCAACTTGCAAAACTTGTTCAAGTTCTACTAGTTGTCTAACATGTTATTATGGTACTCTATAATCAGGCAACACTTGTAATTGTGACCCTTCTCATTAATTTGCTTAAACTGGAATTGGATGCCGATAAGAATGTGAAAGAGATTACTTTCTGGCAAGATCAGATAATATTTGTGTTCCAGATAGAAGAATTAAATCACTTGTTTCTTATTTTGAATCTACAACTTTCAGTACTTATTCTCCTTTTTAATTTGTTCAAGATTCTGCAAATTCAAGAAGTTCTCCATCGTTAATTTTCACTTGTTCATCTACTAGTTATTTAGGTAGTTTACTTTATAATGAAGGAATGAGTTTGTAATTTGCAAATTCGCAATCCATAAAATTTATAAGACTCAGGATTACATTTTACTTAACAGGTTTTTAAACTGATAATAAAATTTAAATAATATTAGATGACTAAATATAAGGATAAATAATCAAAGACTCATCTAGTTACACTTTTGATAAAATAACAAAAATTTATAGTTCAAGTGTCACATGCACAAATACTTATGATTTAATAAGGATAGAGGCAATTCTTCGAACTTACTCTAATACTCCTAAGCTTATTTTAAAAGGAGCATAGTTAACTTTGGCAACTTCGACATGGGGTTTCAGAAATATAACAATTGATAGTGGTNATTGTGTCAGCAATTTAAATATTGTTAGCCCATGCGAATTGGGTAATGATTGACTAAAGTTTTGTTGATGGATTCACTTCTAACAATAGTTGGGATCTATCAAAATATTGTGACTATTTTGATAATGATGAAAGTTTTAGAAATAATTCTTGCTAATCAAATTCTATAAAATATGTACGTCTAAAAGATGACAGATAAAGGATGGATAAGATCTACTAGTAAAAAAGTTACTAATCAGAAGTAATAGTTGATATCTTTTTTGATAATGCTGGTGATACATCTGGAAATCAAGCTTATTTCACATTGAACTTAACCTAGAGTTCGTCATCAAGAGATATTATGTAATAAAGAAATTATATATATTCTGATTTAACTCAAAATGCAAGATAAATATGCAATAGTTCAACACCATAATATTTTGATTTCATAACATATGTAGGTACATCTCCTGTATTATATAAAGAAAAATTTAATATATCTATAGGAATTGAAACTGATGAAGATAATTAAATTCTGGGTGTTAGGAATGTATTTGTTTATGTCAAATATTGTTCACCAACTTGTAAAACGTGTTCAAGTTCGACTAGTTGTCTAACATGTGTTTATGGTTCTCTATAAACAGATGGTAGTTGTACTTGTGACCCTTCTCATTAATTTGCTTAAACTGGAATTGGATGTAGATAAGAATGTGAAAGAGATTACTTTATAGCAAGATCAGATAATATTTGTGTTCCAGATAGAAGAATTAAATCACTTGTTTCGTATTTTGAATCTACAACTTTCACTGCTTATTCTCCTTTTTAGTTTGTTCAAGATTCTGCAAATTCAAGAAGTTCTCCGTCATAAATTTTCGATTGTTCATCTACTAAATATGTAGGTAGTTTACTTTATAGTGAGGGAATGAGTTTATAATTGGCAACTTCTTAATCCTTAAAATTTATCAGACTAAGGATTACATTTTACTTATAAGGCTTTTTGACTAATAATAGAATATAAATATTGTTAGATGACTAAATATAAGGTGAAATAATCAAGACTTCGTCTGATTATAATTTTGAGAAAATTAGAAAAATTTATAGGTAAAGTGTCATATGCACAAATACTTATGATTTAATTCGAATAGAGGCAATTCTTCGAACTTACTCTAATACTCCTAAACTCATTTTAAAAGGATCATAGCTGACTTAAGCAACTTCGACATGGGGATTCAGAAATATAACAATTGATAGTGGCAATTGTAAAGAAAATTGTGCAGTATGTGCTGACTTTTCAACTTGTCAACAATGTATCAGTAATTACGTGTTATTTTAAAATGGTTGTGTCAGCGATTGTCCAGTGCATTCTGCTAATTGTGTTGATTATGCAGATATGATACCAAGTAATTTTAATAATTTATTTTTAGACTCTCGATACTTAGCAAAAGGATTTTATAATTTTAATATGACTACTTCAGATATAAACAAATTCTTCGATGAAATTATTCCAACTGGTAATAATTTCTTAACACAATAAAAATTTTCAATATTTCCAACTAAATTTGTTTTAGGAGGTGTAATGGTATGGAATAATGCAATATATAAAAAATCATGGAGTATATCCAAACCACACTATGCTGTTACAATAAGATTTAACGTAACATATGGAGATGAATATAATGGAAATTTTTATTATACCATTTAAGGAGTAAAATCTGTTGCTCATCCGAAACCATCATCAGGTGGTTAAAACTTTATTGGTAAGAATTTAAATGAAATTACAAAATATTTTGAAATTTTCCAGAGCCCATTCACATCTTCTCCATTAAATATTGAGTTTTAATGTACAGATACAACTGCAGATCCAAAAGATCAATTTTGTGCAATTTCTGACTACTTTATTGTTGTACATTATGTAAATATTTTGATTTATTTTTAAGTGTCTCCCATTTTGTCAAATTTGCAATGATGGTTTCTCTTGTATTACTTGGGAATCTGGGTACACAAGTGAGAATTGCTATACAAATTAATTTTTATAATTTGATACTAATTCAGAAACTTATAGTTGTATTACATGTAATTAACCTGGATGTTTAACTTGCAAAAATTTGGAAGAATGCACTTCATGTGATCCTTCAAGTTAATATAATACTTTAATAAATGGTGTCTGCTTATTATCTAATACTTCTCCTTCTCCAAGTTCATCAGTGCAATGCCATTAAACTTGCGAAACATGTATAGGAGCTTTGATAACTAATTGTTAAACATGCGTTACTGATTTTCATAGGATTTTATCCAACAATTAATGTTTATGTTAACTTGGGTTCTATGATGACGGAATTAATGTAATTTGTCTTCCTATTTGTGGTGATTTGATAATTGTTGAAGGAGAAGATTGTGACGATGGTAATTATAATCCTTATGATGGATGTAATAATTGTAAATTTGATTGTGATGATATTTGTAAAGAATGTTTTTGGGGAATTTGTTTTGATTGTCAATAAGGATTTTAGATTATGGATAATTAATGTGTTCCCATTTGTGGTGATAATATTTTAGTAAAAACAGAGGAATGTGAAGATAGTAATTATATTCCAAATGACGGATGCTATAATTGTAAATTTTCATGTCCAGATCATTGCATTGATTGCTAATTTAATGAATGCATCAAATGCGATGAATTAAATGGATGGTATCTTGAAAATAACACTTGCTAGCCAATTTGTGGTGATGGGATAATTGCTTCTAATGAATCTTGTGATGAAGTAAATATAATATTTTAATCTGGATGTTAAAATTGTTAATTAAAATGCCAGAATGAATGTTTAAGTTGTATATTAGGATAATGTTATGCATGCAAAGAAATTGGATGGGAGATTGACTAAGTTTCTAGTGAGTGCAAGCCTTTTTGTGGGGATGGTATTATTGTAGGAAATGAATAATGTGATGATGGTAATGATATCGACTAAGATGGTTGCTTTGAATGCTAATTTGAATGTTAAGTTGGATGTACAGATTGTTTAAATGGAGTTTGTTTAGAATGTGATACATATGGTTGGTAATTAAATGAAAATTAATGCATACCTTTATGTGGGGATGGTATTATTGTAGGAAATGAATAATGCGATGATGGAAATTTAATTTAATTTGATGGTTGCTATGAATGCTAATTTGAATGTTAAGTTGGATGTACAGATTGTTTAAATGGAGTTTGTTTAGAATGTGATACATAGGGTTGGGAATTATATGAAAATTAATGCATATCATTCTGTGGAGACGGGATTGTTGCAGGAGACGAAAAGTGTGATGATGGAAATTTAATTGAATTTGATGGTTGCTTCGAATGCTAATTTGAATGTTAAGTTGAATGTACAGATTTTTAATAAGGAGTATGCTATGCCTGTGAAATTTAAGGCTGGTCTTTAACTGAACATCGTTGTCATCCTGTTTGTGGAGATGGATTTATTATTGAGGGTTTAGAAGAATGCAATGACGGAAACGATGTAGAAAATGATGGATGTTATTAATGCTAGGTTTAATGTTCAGATGGTTGTGTTGAATGTTAAAAAGATAAGTGTCAGAGATGCTAAGATAATTTGTATGTATTGGATATTTAAACAGAAAAATGCATTCAAAAATAAATCAATGATGATGATCATGATATAGATTTGAATAAAATGTTGTTGGTTTAATTATCTAATTTTAGATGTGGAGAAAATTACTTACTTATTGATTATAAATGTGTTAATTAATGTGGAAATGGATTATTAAATAGTTAATATGAAGCATGTGATGATGGTAATCATTTTGG